ATTGATAAGTGCCATTTTTATTTGATCATCTTAAACTTATTAGGGAAATTTTTTATTTAAAACTTTTGATTTAGGGTTGTGTAGTCCTTATCTTTTACTATTTTCTTTTCCAACTAATGCTAAATAAAGTACTCTATATTTTAATTTTATACTTTGTATAGTGGTAATCATATTGCAAGAGGAGAAAATGCTTAAGAGGATAAGAGAAAAATTAAAAATATAAGATTCACTTTAAGTCATATCAAGCTCACTTAAGCAAAAATTGAGTAGAAAGGAGGTTTGGAGAAATTTAGATTCGCTTAAGCGAGATATAATATGGTTAAATGAAAATAAGTTAAGAAGACAATAACTTCATTTAACCTAAATGAACAAAATGACAATGACTTATCATAATGAATTCACTTAAAGGGATTCATTTAAGTCAATCTCATTTCTGCTTAAGTGAAATTTGAAAAAATTTATTGAAGCATAAATAAAAAATTTATTCTTAAAAGAAATGATTCTTTTCTTTTATTCTCTTGTTTGCCACCACTTTTGGAGCTTAAGATGAGCAATTCAAGTTTTAGTCCTACTTTCTTCATGTATTATAGGATAACTCTTATGATAATGAATAACTAATCTTTCTTTTTAATGGGATATAATGTAAAAAACTAAACTCTTACATGTTATTTCTAAATATACAAATATATTTGTCAGTTTTTCTAATAAATATTAGTGATCTCTTCTTGTACTTCATGCTTATTACATTTTAATTAAATTAAACTAGAGTTTTGAGTTTAGGATTTGATTGAAAAATAGATTTTAAAGATAGAATTAAAATAAATAATCTATTGAATTTGGTTTATAGGAATGTGGCTAAAGTCATTAGTTGTTTAACGTGATAGTTCTTAATGTAATGTTTTTCTGTAAATATGAAAGGGTAATGTATTCATAGAAGGAACTTATGATCTCATTCAAAGGGATTAGAAACAAGTGAAATTAATATATTTATAATAACATTGATTGAAAATTACTTATGTTCTTATATTTAAACATGTAGAACAAGAAAAAGCAAGTGAAGTTCAATCTCAACATCTTGAATATTGATAGTTTTTTTATTAGACTTATTATTGCCATAATTATCATTTATAATTGAAATTATAATCTTTAAATTAATTAATTGATGTTCAATTTTGTGAATATAAGTTTGTATAAAGTTATTAAGATTTAACCAATAATTTTGTGATTCAAATTTTTTTATATATTTTCCAAAGGACCAACAATTATGCTTCAACTTTATAAAATAATAAAGGAAAACTAAATTTAAGAGATACAAAAGGTATTTTCTTGGGATCAAAACTAGGAACAAATCTTATTTGTTGGTTGACTTAAAAACAAGAGAAACATTTATTTATAAAAATATAATTTTCTATGACATTTTTTTCTTATTTTAACATTTTATCTGATTTAATAAATGTTAGTGAATCATGTAATGCAAATTCTCCATTTGATTTTTTTGGCCTATGATATTGTGAAGCAAAACCATATTGTTGTATATCAAATAAAATCATCATCAGAAGAGAACTTAGTGAAACATGGTCCATAACTTGTATTAATAAGATCAATAAGAAACAAAAATTCACCATCTTATCTTCAAGATGATCATTGTAATGCTCTAAGTTCAACATATTTTAATTTAATGAGAAGTACTAGGTATCCCTTATCCTCTATTTTTTTCTTATCATTTTCTACTGACTCATATCTTCATTTTACTTTATCCATTTCTTCACATGGTGAGACTACATATTATCACCAAGCAAAAAGGTCATCTCATTGAGTTAAGGCTATACAAGATGAATTATTTGCATTAGAACATAATAATACTAAAACAATTACTAATCCACCACCAAATAATATGGATATAAAAAAGAATATAATTCAAATAACATAATTGGAAGGTATAAGGTTAGGTTTGTGGCCATAGAATTTGCAAAAATAAAAGGCCTAGACTATTTTGATTACTTTGCACCACTTGTAAAGCTTAGTATTATTAGATTAATTGTTATTGCAGCTTTTCAAGACTAACATTTAAATTAATTAGGTGTAAATAATGCATTTTTAGATGGGGATATTTGCAAAAAAGTATACATGCTAATTATTAATTGTTTAGAGCGATATGTTATAAGCCAAATCAAGTTCATAGATCACACAAATTTCAATGGACCGAAACAAATTAGGAAACAATGATTTGCTAACTTCTCTAACTTTTTGTTAACTATTGGTTATAATCAATCATCATTGACTCTTTTTTAGTAAAGCAAATAATCAATTTATTGCACTTTAGGTCTATGTTGATGATTTAATTTTAGCATGTTCTAACTTAGTTAAATTCAATCAAGTTAAAAATCAACTAAATAAGAAAATTCAAAGAATTAAAAATAGTTAGATCAAAGTTAGAAATTGCAATTTGTTAGAGAAAATATGCTCTTGATATTTTCTTAGGCTTCCTTGCTGCCAAACTAGCACCAACACTCATTGTGAAAACTACAAAGCTATATGAACAAGCTTGTTTAGAGATAATTATATCTCACAACAATAAGGCTAGACATTAAATATTTGTACACCAACATAACCAATACATGTCATTTCAAACAAATAATTACCATAAGAAAACTATAAGAGTTTTAAGATACATAAAAGACACACTTGCATAAGGCCTTTTTTACTTAAAGGATTCACCCATTCAATTAAAGGAATTAAGTTATGCCAATTGAAAATATCTCTCAAAGGATACTATATTTTCCTAGGCATATAGTAGATTACTTAGTGTTTTATGATAGGAGGACAAAGCATCTTGATATAGTTTGTCATTTTTGTCAAAGAAAAATTACAATAAAAAGTATTTCACTTATAATTTGTTTCTTCTTAAAAATAATTGACAGATGAAATAATCAAAAACTCTTAATTCTTTTCCTTTCTCTTATCTTCAAATCCAACTAGAATTGATCAACATACACTCCAACAAACATTAGATAATACATAAAGTATTGACTTAAATAGTTGTACTACATAAAGCTTTATTGTCTCTCTATTTTTAAGTTTAATATTTTTTGTTAGTAGTTAATAGTTACAATAGTTAAGTTAATTTCATTTTGTATCTTATGTTATTGATATTTCTTTGTGTACAAACAATCAATTTGATCAATCAAAATTAGAACATATATTACAATTTCTTTTAATAAAAACATTCATCATTGCTTTCAATCAGAATTTTCTTTTTAAACTAAAGTTTGTGGTTGCAATATATTAACAAATTTCAATGTACTTAAAAAAATTTTATATTTAATTTAAATGTTCCAATCTTTACTTTTACTTCTCATGTTATTCTTAGTGTTGTCACCTTGAGAATTGTATAAACTATTTATACGTAAAATTTAGTTTATTTTTTTTCTTTTTTGCTTTTTTTTATAAATGAAGATTATGGAATGAATAACAAATAGTTATGAGATTGACAAATGTTAATTGTACAAAGACATGATTAAGAAGTCAAAAAAGGAGGTGATAAACTATTAAATTGATAGACTTTAATATCATATAAATAAAATAGGATGAGCCATTTGCAAAGAGAAAAAAGAAAAGGAAATCATGATTTACATAGTTTTTGTTTTTATTTTATTTTTATCTTAAGCTCATCACTATCATTCTTAACTATTAATTATTAAAACCAAAAAAAAAATAAAACTATCTAACCAATCTATAAAAATAGATAAATGTAAAAAATACTCGTATTTATGAATATTTGCAAGGTATATTCACAATGAATACTTGCATGAAAATAAATATTATATTAATAGTTTCCATGTACTTCATACATAAAATATATTTTTTTGTTAAATATATTAAAAATACTATAATTACTTTATTTTTTATAAAATTAATTTATTTAATATTATTCTATAATATTTGTAATATATTAATTCATAATGATATTATATAATATTAATTTATATAGTATAATATTATAATATATTACGAGGGAGAAATCAAATTATAAATACATTCACTTTTACAACGTTAATAACATAATATTAAAAAATAATTTTCATTGATCCAGCTATTGATTATAATTATATATTGCATGAATTATTTGTGTCAAATTTTTTCAAAATCGAACATTTATAATATTTTTATCAAATGATCTTATTTTTATAAATTTTTAAAGTATATATTACATTAATTTTAATTTTTAATGAATAGAGTATTAAGTAATTTTAAATTAATTTTAATTTTTACATATATAATTATATAATTAAAAATTTTAATCTAACAATTAATTTTGAGATTAAATTATTCAATAAAAAATTATTAAATAATTTAAACATAAGTATAAGTTATAATGATATTACTTGATCCTTTCCACTTTCATGAGCATTGATATATACTAATTTTAATGAGTTGAAATAAGACAATATACTTATCATTGGATGGATGGTTGTAGTGAGTGAGTCTATCATTAGAAAATTTTTTTGCATATACAAAAATTTAAACTTAAGACTTTGTTTAAGTAATATTGAATCAAATAAACCTCCATTGGTAGATAATATACTACTTTATTATGCTAATATTTGTGCATAAACATTCTTGCCAATAAGACAAAAAAAGAAAGAACAAAAAAATTATATTATCTTTTATAAAATTCATATGATTAATATGAATTCCATTAGCTAACTTATTAGCCCATATATTAATTTTTCTAATAATAATAATAATAATAATAAGTTTTAAATAAATAAAATATGTCAAATTTTTCACTTAAATAAAAAAATTAAATTTAAATATTATATATTTTTAATCAAACTTTTAATTCACTATTAGTTTAGATTCCCTTTTACAATCATTCAACTATGACTCATCACATTTTAAAAAGATTATAATTACATCAAGGTCAATTTCTTTAAACACAAGTAGATAATATTACAGAAAAATAAAATTAAAAACAATCCTGAAAGGAGTATATGCCATTAATGGCGTTGAGAATAGCAAGTCACTCCCGCCACGAATATTTTTGTGGTTCTGAGCTTAGTCTGACAGGCATTCTACAGTAACAATCCGCCCATTCCCCAGTTTGGACCACAACATTTACTTCACTGTTCATCTTCATTTCGAATTAAAGTCAACACCTTCGGAACCAACCCATGTCAACTCTGCAATCTCTGCGACCTTCTTTCCATCCATCAATCTCACCCCCAAATTCTCACACTTTCCCCTTCGCTCCCGTTAATTATTCCCCCAAATCAATGGGCTCAAAGGTTGTAACCCTAAGACACTCTGCTATAACTCCTAGGGCTTCCAATTCGGAGTACACTCCTGCTCACGCCGAAAATCTCGGTGATGTTAGCATTTTCACTGCTTCCGGCGAGCCAGTATTGTTCAAAGATCTCTGGGATCAGAGCCAGGTCAGCATAGCTTATACTCATGCGCAAAAGCTTTGGTCTTTGTCTTCATAATATAAGTCTCTTTAGGTTCACCATACATGCATGTTTTGAGTACCAATTTTGTTAACTGGGATTAACCATCACGTGTGTTTGGTTGCATTGTGTGTCTTGTATTTTCAATTGCGTGTTTTGGTGAAGCCAACTTTGGGCGTTGACTTTGGCATTATCCGTTGACTTTTTGAAGCTTGAGTGATTAATCTTAATTCTTGCAGGGAGTGGCTGTGGTGGCACTGTTGAGGCACTTTGGGTGCCCGTGCAGGTAACTGATCCTCACTTTTGGTCTCATCAGTCAAGACTTGTTTCAAGCACAGTTCTTCTAATTTTTACCTTGTATCCTCTTGTTCTAAAGCTGGGAATTGGCTTCAGCCTTGAAAGAATCCAAGGAAAGGTTTGATTCAACTGGAGTCAAACTTATTGCAGTGGGTGTTGGTACTCCCAATAAAGCTCGTATGCTTGCGGAACGGGTAATTTTTTTGTTCTTTCTCGTTTCCTTTCAGTGTCTTCCTAGCAAAGTACATATTTGTTGCGGTTATTTTTAGACAATCATTATCTTGTTGCAGAGGACATTCCTTATTAGTTTAGGCGTGGCATTACATCTGGAAAGGTTGATTCTGGTAACAGCTACGAATCAACAAATGCTAATTTTCAATAAAGGTTTTACATTGGAGATGAAAATCTTATCCCGACCTAATTGATATTCATAAAATTGACCTGTAATGAGAAGGTTTTTTCCCATCAAATAGGTCCACACTCGGGCCTAAGTAAATTACCTACAAAAATTTTGCGGGAATGGGTGTACGTTTGGATATTATTGTAGCCAACCTGTCCTATAGCCACATAACATATTTGTTATATTTTATAATTAGGATATGAGATCTTTCAATGCTATTTTATTGAGATCGATGTTGCATTTTTAAATTAATGTTTTTTCTTATCGTTTTTTTGGTAGTTAATTTTTAATATTAAAATAGTTTTTCTATAAAGAAAAGGTATATTAACAAGAGAGCACGTTCCATTTAGCAAAAATGAGGATAATGGGTTTGTATATGTTGGGATCCAATTGGAAGTATGGGATTTTGAAGTGGGGTTTATAAGGCCTTGTGCTTTCCAACTACAATAGCTAGCTGTTGTAGTGTGGTTCTCCCAAGTTCTTATTAGTATTTTATCAGTATGATATGAATGACCATTTTTATCTTGAGCAGGCATAGAATTTGGATCACAGTATATCTGAGTTTTGAAGACATTTCATTTAAATCTCAACTGATATTTTCTTTTTGACTTGATGTTGTGTTTTCAGTTACCATTTCCAATGGATTGCCTTTATGCTGATCCTGACCGCAAGGTAACGTGGATTGCTAGTTGAATATCCACGCACTAGAACTCATCTTCTAATACAGATGTGTTTATTAACCCATTTCGCCACCTTTCAGGCATATAATGTTTTGAACCTATACTATGGTTTTGGCCGAACTTTCTTGAACCCAGTCAGTGTAAGCTTAACCTCTGATTTCTCTGAAGTAATTGTGTTTTTTCCCTAAGAGATTTGCAATTATGCATGTTGATTAATGTATGTTTTTAACTTTAATTGATATTTCAGGCCCAGGTGTTTTCGAGATTTGATGCTCTGCAGAAAGCTGTCAAGAACTATACAATTGCAGCCACTCCTGACGATAGAAGTGGTGTGCTGCAGCAGGTTGATAAGTTAATCTGGTAGTGAAAACGATGCAAGTAATATTACTTGCATTCCATAAATTGATGAATTCCTTTGTTTTTATAGGGAGGGATGTTTGTGTTCAAAGGAAAGCAGCTACTATATGCAAGGAAGGACGAAGGGACAGGTGACCATGCCCCTTTAGATGATGTTTTTGATGTCTGCTGCAAAGCTCCTGTTGCGTGATACTGTACTGTATGAAATTTAAATTTGTATTAACATTAGGTATGTTCCGTTTAAGAAGATACGTGATAGTAGATTAGGATTTCCGTGAATCATATACATGACAACATACTTAAGTTGTGGATATGATTAAACATCATATACAAATAAAGTTCAATCTATAAGTATGTTGTCATTTATATAGTTCTCTGGGAACTCAATTCTGTTGCAACAAAACTTGATTATGATATGATGAGTGTAATATATGTTAGCTTTTCATATTTTAATCATTATGAATGATTATAATGTAAGTTTTAATCAGTATATGCCTAAAGATATATTACTCGAGGAAACTAGGTGTTACCTACCGAGACTCTAAATAACAGTGACAACAATATAATTGTAGCCATGTTTTCTCTTCTACCATCCCCCTTGTTCTTTTCTCTCACTGTAGTGTGTGTACAACCTCTCACTGAATCTGGGAATTCCCAAGCTCTCCTCTGTTGAGGTATATGTGGAACTTTGAGGGGTGGTGATTGGCCATATATTACGTACTTTTCCTTAAGCTGGGCTCTCTATTTTTTGGGCCGTCACATACAAGTTCCGTTCATATGGCCTTTTAATTTATTTATTGTGATTGTGAGGTTTTTATGAAAAATCAAACTTTTTATGAAAAATCAAACACGATCGACCATCCTTTGATATGTCCTGTATTTTCGCTTTTAGTTTCTGTTAATTGATAGAAATAATGAGGAAAGGTATTGTTAATTTGAGTCTTTCAATTCTTTTCATTTAACAATTCTTACTAAACGGTTGGAAATAGATCAGTTGGTTGGATAATGCAAAAGACTGGCAAGTGGGTAAGTGAAACATCCTTTTTGTTTATTGCTTCATGTAGGATGTCTACATGCATGTTACTCGAGCATTGGATTGATCATCGTAGTTAAAAGCATATGAATGATTTTACATTGCATCTTTGACATATTTCTTCACACGAGAGCCTGTTGGGTTTGGAGCATAAAACGCATCACAACCTTACTAATTTTAGGCTGAAATTCAAATTTTTTATTAGAAGATTGAGGAAGGCAAACTCCTGACGAATTGATCATAAAAGCTCCAAACCAAGCAACAGTTCATGACCTAATTATCCTAAAAAGTAAAGTACTATTTGAAGACATGAATACTCTTTTTATACGTCTCTAACAACCACCTAGTGCCAATTTTGTTTTGTTTTGTTTTTCTTTCTATGGTATTGCAATATTAATAGAATTATGATGCAAGATATTCTCTGTAATCTACCAGGGTTTTGGTCAGAATGATTAGTAGAATTTGATTTTCCAACCATCTTTACGATTTGATGATGGCTTTACCTCCAACCGTAGCATCTCAAGATGAGCCTGTCAGCCGGATGACTAAAGTCATTGGGTATTACGGCAGGGGGTACGTTAACGGGGTCTAAACCTGTTGGGTTGGGTGGTCAATCTACTGATAAGCCTAAAATTCCAACATGCCATATATATGGCGTTATGAGCACAAAATAAAATTACATAAAAAAATAAAAAGTATACATCCACTATAACAGTGCCTTCTTGTTGTAGCTGATAGGCACCTGTGAGTGAGTTCAATCTAGGACTAAAGCTTTGGCTTTTTCTGTTTTTAATTGAAAGAAATCCCTAGCAACCATCCCACCAAATGTCCATTCAAATTCCAAAGGTATTCCCCTGCAATGCACTTCTTTAGTCTCTTTCAGACAAAATGTAGTCCTAGGAACGTGAATAGTTTAGTTTAGGATAGGATTATATCTCCAGAGAGAGAGAGAGAATGACTCAAATAATTACACTTAGTTAACGTGTGAATTAGAATAATAAATATAAACTATTAGATCTTATTTAAGTAATCAAAATTAAAAATAAATTATACTTAGTTTTTTGCAGTGGTCAAATTACCACTAATTTTTAAACTTTAATAATTCATATATGTGGTTTTATTTGTATAATTCAACAAATCTTTATAAAAGTCTGATATATATATATATATCTTAATTATTCATCTAACTTATATTTAACGGTTATATTTTATAATACTATTTGATTTATACTCAATTTTTCTCTTCCACTAACTTTATTTAATGTGTTATAATTTATTATTTCACTACTCTCATTTTATTTCTCTCTTCTAGTACCTTGTCTTTTTCTATTAGTGGTATTCTGGTTCAAACAACACAAGCTAACGCCTTTGTAATAAACCTACACAAATAATATGACTTATTAATTTATTAGTATTTTATTTTATAAAAAATATACAAATAATTTAATAATAAAAAAAATTTATATTCTACAAATAATTATATATAATAAAATTATTTTAAATAATAATTTAATATAGTTTTGTAATTACAAATAATATGTTTAAAATTATAAATATTTAATAAAATTAAATAAATTTAAAATATAAGTTATTTAAAGTAATATTTTTATTATTTAGTGTAAAAAATATTTAATATATATTGATAATCATAAATTTAAGAGATAAAACTCTTAATAAATACTTAAATTTAAAATAATTTTTATAAATATAAAAATAGATATTTATAAAAATAAGTAACAATATTTTATTTTTAAAAATTGAAATATAATTAAATAAAAATAAAATTATAACAATAAAAGATAATATTTTGGATAATTTTAACATGTACAAACTGTAGAAGAGTAATTTAAATAATATTTTTAATTTAAAATAAAATAAAATATTTTTATAAATATAAAATAAATATTTAGAAAAATATATAAAATTTTAAGGAAAAAATAAGTAATAACTTTTATTTAAATGTTTTAAAATTTATAAATATAATATGAAATATAGTATAAGTAAAATATAAACTTTTATAGTATAAGTTAAATAGTATTATAAAATATAGCTATTATATGTAAGTTAGATAAATAGTTAAAATTAAGTATAAAAATTTTATGACTAATGTAAAAAATCATATCTTTATATATATATATATATACACGCTTGAGTATCTTATGGCTTTCCTTTCCTGATGAAAGAAAATCTAATAGGTCTCGGGGATGCAGGGCTAGAAGTAATGTAGACTAGGTGGTCGTCTTGCCTATGTTAAAACTAGGATAAAAGGGTGGTGGATCCGTGGATGGGTTTATTTACCATAAGTTATAGATTGTAGAAGGTACAATTTCCTTGGATATTTGGAAGTAATATGAGGGTAAAAAGGAAAAGGAAATGCTGAATGTTGCGGTCAGCAAAGTAGTCATAAAAAGAGATTCTCATCCGAGAGTACGACATGCAACATTAATGCCAGAGGGAGGAAATGGACTGGGCGTAGGGCTAAAGGCAAGTAAAGAGTAATGGGGCTAAGAGATGCAGAGAAAATATGCCATTGGGTTCAATGAAAGGGTTACTTAAATACTTGCCCTCAGAAAGAGAAAGTGCGCAAGGACCTTTTCTTCTCATGCATACACTATAGCATTAACAGGGTTCTGTGGTGGCAATCAGATAAGTTGCTATCCAATTTCACTTTTCTGTTGACTCCTTCTGCTTGTTTCGGCAATTTTATTTACTTCCATTCGTTAGATTCCATGTTCCCACTGGACATATCTCAATCCCACCAACCCCTTCTCTTTACTTCCCTTAAAATTAACCCATCAGAGTTTGTTTTCTTTTTTAACAAACTTGAAAAGGCTGCAATTCCAAAATGCAATTTTCATAAGTTCACATTATTAATCACAAACTTTTTACACTTGTAACCAACCAATACTAGATTCAGGTTAAGGTGGTCGTGTATACCAATCAATTTCATACTGGAAGTAGTTTTATTTGACAAATTAATTAATGTTAATAAGTAACGACACTGTTTTCACCCCATTAAAAACACATAATTATTTTTGGGGGGGCAACATGGGGTTATGGTAAACGGTCAATCCCTAATAGCTCGTTTCACTTTACAAGTTTAATAAATCTTATACCAAAAAAATGGAAAAATTTGTTCAAAAGCAATATTTAATTAATCTAGCAAAGGATCAAGATTGTGTTTATTCTGTAATACGAGGAAAATAAAATTTGTACTACTAGAGCTTCTCATATTGTTAGATACACCCCAGTGGCTGTCATTTAAAGCTGAAATCCTGCGAATATTTTGTTATGAAAAAATGTCTTGTGCATATGGAACTACGTTTGTGGCGAAATGTGCAACAGAAAGTGACAGGATGACATCCCCATCATACTGCAGCCATAAAGAATACAATTCCAAATTTCCCCCATACTGCAGACATAAAGAAAACAACTCAAGCATAGCCGGCAAACGATCAATCCCAGATGGAAGAAGCATATGTTGCAAAGAATATTCCTTATCCTAATGATGTAACAAAAAAATAAATGAGCAACAACATAGCATAGTTTGACATTAAAATTAGTATCCTTGTTATTATTCTATCTGATTCCATCCATATAAGAGGACGAGAACCCAAATAATATTCAACAATCGAAAACACAAGAATGAGTGACCGCAAAATCGTTCTAGTGACTGGCTGTGCCAAAGGTGGCATTGGCTATGAATATTGCAAGGCGTTTGCGGAGAAAAATTGCCACGTGTTTGCCTCTGACATCTCAAGGAGGATGCAAGACATGTCAGATTTAGAGTCAGATAACATAGAGACACTTGAGCTTGATGTGTCTAGTGATCAAAGTGTGACTTCAGCTGTGGACAATGTTATATCAAAATGTGGCCGCATAGATATTCTGATTAATAACGCTGGAATAGGTAGCACAGGGCCATTGGCTGAGTTGCCACTGGATACAATTAGAAAGGCTTGGGAAATTAACACACTGGGGCAACTAAGAATGGTGCAACACGTGGTGCCTCACATGGCTATGAGGAGAAGTGGGAGCATAGTTAATATTGGCAGTGTTGTAGGCAAATTGTCCACTCCATGGGCAGGGTCTTATTGTTCTAGTAAGGCTGCGGTGCATGCTATGTCAAACAGTTTGCGCCTAGAACTCAGGCCTTTTGGGATCAACGTGGTTCTTGTGTTGCCAGGGTCTGTGAGATCAAATTTGGGGAGGGCCAATTTGGAAAGATTGGGTAATTGTGAGTGGAAGCTTTATAAGGACTTCAAAGAGGTGATTGCTGAGAGAGCTAGAGCCTCTCAGGGTGAGAAAGCAACAGATGGTAGAGTGTTTGCTCGACATGTTGTTAAACATGTTTTAGGCCCTAAACCACCAAAGAAAATTGTTTTTGGTCACATGACTGGTTTGTTTGCTTTGCTCTCTTGGTCTCCCCTGTGGGTGAGTGATCTATTTTTCTCAAACCGATTTGGCCTCAACAAAAAGGTTTAAGGAATTTCTGTATAAGTTTGTGATCAAAATAGTGTTCCACTGTTTATTTGTTAGGGAATTGGAATAATATCTGTTGTATGATTTAATGATTCGATGACATCTTGTGTAACCAATTCTTGCTTGAGCTACAATCAAAGGTTTACAATATTATTAAAATAATTGTAACACTAGTCTTAACAATCTTAAACTTTTGATTGGTTGTGTTTAGTAACATACTGCACTCACGCAAGAATTACTCCTTGATATATGACTCCATGGTTGTTTTAATAAAAAGATGGGGTGAAGTAGCAAGAAATTATTATTATTATTATTATAAGATTTTTATACTCCTATTATTTCAAGCCCAATTCCAAGCTCAGAATATCATGTATGTCACACTAATGTCTATTTAGTGTTTTTTTGCTACCTTAATCTTCAGCTGGAGAGTATAAAATGTTATTCTTGTACTGGAGTTTGTCAGATATGTTAAGCTGCTAAGTAAAAAAAGACGAGACCGGAATTGAAACTTGGACTTAAAGGTGCCAGGAGAAAAAGAGCAGACGAAAACTTTTCCTTTAAATCTTAAGAGTTGCTTCTAAAATCAAGAAAGAGTTGCCTGCAATCATATCAAATAAGTGAAGGAAAAGATGGAGCACGCCCTACTAACATAAAATGCTACGGACCACATAATATCACAAGGACACTGATTAAGGATTTGTATCATTTCGTGACCAAAATATTAACTTAATTAAGAACTTATTTAATAATTTTTTTAAAATAGTATTTTATATTATAAATTTAATCACCAAACTTTTTTAAGATAAGTTAAAAAATGGTTTATTTTAATAATTATATAAAAAATATTACAAAATTAGGAAAAAAGACCTTACAAAAGTTGTAAAATAGTTTCATAAGATGTCCATAAATTCTATAAAATAAATCTATAGTTCTAATAGAAAGAACACTGGTAAAATAGCATGATATAGTTATTATAGTGAGATTCTTATAGATTACATTGATATTAAAATAGGTATGAAATGAGATGATTTTATTAATAACTAATAACAATAACAAGTATGATTATTTTTAAAAATTAAGGAAAAGAATACATGATTGATAGGTTGCTAACAAATTAGCCGGTCCATTGCCTCGAAGGCAACAAGGAGAAAAGGGGTACGAATTAGTCTTCCCCATGGTCGACCCACATGAAAAGGATAGTGAAATGGAAAGAAAGCAAAATTAGAGGTCCTTTATTCAGTATTTCAATTTTGGGGCAAAATGTTAATTGGTATCTCTATATACTCTGTAGTGCTTGGTGGGGTGGACATACTCATGATTACAACAATCAAAAAGAGGGTCTCTTTCTATTTCTCAACATTCCTCCTGGTCTGCTGCTACGTCTTTCTTTCACTGCCAAACTCCGTTTTCCATCTCTTTTCTCAAACAACATCATGCGCTCTAGAATTCCTGTCTCCATGAAATTGGTCACGCAAATTTGCATGCAAACTAATGATTATAGTGATCAAACGGAATCTATATTTAAAGCCTTTTTTTTAACGGGCCTTCCCTCTCTCTCTCTCTCTCTAAGCCATAGTGGCCAGGACTACTGAGTTGCTTCTCAAGTGGGGTCAGAGAGAAATGCGACCATGGTTTACGTCATAAACTGTTCGAAAAGGAGTTCAATTTTGTTGGATCATGGAGAATATTATGCAAGGAATAAACACCATTTTAGTTTTTCAAACTGTAACAGCCATTCTATATTTTAACTTTACATAATCTTTACTTTAATTCTGACTTTAAAAAATTATTTTAACTTCTTTTTACTTTATTTTTTACAATATTTTTCATAAAAAGTGATTGAAGCACATGACTATGCTTGGCATTTTATAAATTGTAACTAGCAAGAGTAAACTTTTTATAAAATTATAACAATGGCAACCTTAAAAATTAAAATAAATATTTATTTTTTTCACAAGCATATAGTATGGCAATGTGTGTGTCTGGTGAAAAGATTTGCAGGTTAAACAAAAGTTTCACTTGTAAATATTTTCACGAAATTGAAAGTCAAAAGCGTTGTACTTGTTTGGAATGGCGGGGCTGTAAATGGGATTTTGAATAAAAAAATTTGTTTAGTTAGCGTGAGGTAATTTTGGCTTTTGTTATTGAAAAGAAGGTTTTATTAAAAATGAAAGTTTTGTCTCAAGTTAAAAACTTTATATTAAATTCTATTATAAAGTTTTTGAAATATTTTTTTTAAAAACTATAAATTTTATTAATAATTTTTAAAAATTATAATTTCTTAAAATCAAAATTGCATATGACTACCTAAACACAAACTACATACAAAATTATTTCTTTTATTTCAGCAAAGAAAAACAACAAAATTATTGAGTAAAATTTCATTCTATTTCCTATTACTTTTAATGGCTGTTGTGATTCATGTGAAAGTTACTCTAGTTTATGAAAGCAAGACTTTATGGTAGTGGGATTAACCAATTCACTTAATGTCTGCCAAGTCCTGTACCAACGATGTCTTGTAAGGCTTTAGTTAATGTGTGCAGCACATAAAAGTAAGTTTTGTTGAGGCTGAAATTGCTTGTCCCACCCTTCCACTACATAGAATAAATTTAAATCTGCCTATCTTTATTAAGGGCCTTCATTTCATCATACCAGGAATATATGTACTTCATCAGGAGTGCATACTTTATCTTAAGTTTCTAGTCTAGTCGTATTTCATTTTTGCCTCTTGTTCTCTCTCTTCAAAGTGGTAAGTTGCTATTTATTTGCCTCATAAAAGCGCATATGGCATATGGCAATAGCATAAGCACACTCACTTTTCATGTTAATGGTTCAAATTTTTAATTGGATTTGCGCCACAGAAAATGGCACATTCTTCCTCAGCCCCTCTTGGATAAAATCCGTTCTCTATTTTCAATAGGAAACCAACAAAAAAAATCCATGTTGGGATGTGTACACTATACAGGGACTGCTTTATATATGTTGAAGATGAGTCATGACAAATCACAACTGAAGGAGAGAAAATGATAATAAAAGATGAAGTGAAAGCTGGGGTGGTTGTTAAATTTAAGAGTGTGCTCTTACATGGCGAATAAGATTATCCACTTGCTAGTTTCCCTGTTGAAGAATGTTAGTGACTTCACCTCTCACTTTTTGTCTTGATGCAAGTATTGATTGACTACAATCAGGGCCATACCTAAAGCAAATAAAAAAAGACCTTGCACCTCAATAATTTTAGATTATTATTCCATTTATCGCAACCAAAAGTTCTCTAATTCTAGATGCTAGATGAGTGGTATAGTCAATCATGGTAACCCAAGTAGCATTGGGCCATATTAGATCACTTCGTATATCATATTTTTCCCTTTCTAGTGTTTTGTTCCGTTTCCCACCCCACGCTTTGACTCTATAAAGCACCATTATCCCTAATTAGCAGTGTGAACATTCCTGAAACTTATTCCAGCATGATCGTGAACCTTGTGTTCTTAAATCTAACAATGATAGGTCCCCCTGGAGCTGTTAAGGCCACTAAACTTGTATTCATTTCTGACACCTTTTTCCCCCCTAATCCCTAATTATAGAACTTCAACAACGAGTAACAACTGATAAAAGTAGTAATCAGGTAAGGTAAAAAGAAACCATTTTGTTAATCTGAGTCTATAAGCAATTAAGATTAGTAAATTTTTATTAAAAAAAGAAAATAATTATTATATTGAAATTATAAACGTGTATTGAATGAACTATTTTAATAAAATCTTACTAATTTTAGATGCTTAAACTTAAAATTAAAAGATGAGATTAACAAAATAAAAAGAAGGTAAATAAGTTAACAAAATTGTGATGAGCCAAACTGAAAGAAGGGGGCAAAGGCCCAAAAAGAAAGCGAGTGGGAGCATGTGATGTTAATGGTTATACCAAGTGGTAATTGTGTGTATAATGAAGGGAGAAATGGAGAGAGTAGCCCACAGAGCAATGCAAATGCAGAAGGACAACAAAGTTGGACTTAGGAAACGACGTCGTAAGAGCCAACACCTATAACTGATGGGTGGCAGATACCTGTCCTCTAGTTGCAAAGTGTTGTAGGGGTCCATAGCAGAGCAGGATCTGCAAACTGTTTTGAAGTGACTGGAGGGAGGGACACTTTGTCCACGCCCCGTGAAATCTAACAGCAAAATTCCATCACATTCAAATTTAATTAAATCAATCTTTATTATATACTTACTAGGAGTATACTATTTGTGCACCCACTGTGACCAATAAATTTTAGAGAGAGACTTGGTTGCACACACTTTGAAGTTGCATTTTCACCCACTATACAAAAATAAGGCCTCTGAATTCCCTGTTGTTGGATGCATCACACAGGTCTTTTTTAGATAACAATAACTAATATAATTTTTTTTTTAAATTAGAGTGTGTAAGTAAGAACACTTGAATCTTGCATTGCCTTGTATAAAAGAGAAAAGGAAAGGAGGGAGAGTAGAATAAAGCAAAAGCGAAGGTCTTTCTCATACACGGATCCCCATGGAATGCGGGAAGGATGCCTAGCATTGCTTGCTGGAACACATTCTTTTTGTTTAGTTTATAGGAACTTGCTTTGTTCCCTTTAGAAATGTGTCCACTGAGACACCCTTATATACACACACACATATACACGCCGAGACAGTGAGAGAGAGAAGAAGGCTTATAGATATGCAGTTGCAGGACCTATATAGATTTGTTTACATTCATCCTTAGATTTGGCCCAGTCACTTCTTCTTCTTCTGCTACCAACACTAAATTACTTATTTAGCAATAAATATTTCTTCTAAATGGTGGGGTGGGAGTGGCAAGGCTAGAGACAATTTTCTCTTGTTTTGGTGAAGGAGTGAGTGAGTGAGGGAGTCTTGTGTGAGAGAAAAAAATGAAGGGCATGGAAAATGATGACACTGTTGACGTTAACAATCAAAATAATTGGTTGGGTTTCTCACTTTCTCCTCAAATCAATATAGGTGTTCCTTCACACACTCATCAGTCACAACCTTCATCTGCTGCTGCTGCTGCTGCTGCTGAAGTTGTTCCCACAAGCTTTTACCACTCTGCTCCTCTTAATAACTATGCCTTCTACTATGGACTTGAAGCTGAGAATGTTGGGTTGTATTCAGCACTGCCTATTATGCCTCTCAAATCTGATGGCTCTCTCTTTGGAATGGACGCTCTGAGTAGGTCACAAGCACAAGGTTAGCACAAAAGGTTTTGCTATATTATTATTCTGCTGTGTTGTTTTGGAGACTTTTGTTTGTGTGTGAACTGTATTAAATGTTGAACTGTGTTTTTAACTATGTTAATGAAGCAATGGCTACTTCTTCAACGCCAAAACTGGAGAATTTCTTAGGAGGGGAAGCGATGGGGACCCCTCACTATGAATGTAGTGCCACTGAAACAATGCCTCTTAGCTTAGATAGTTTGTTTTACAACCAACCCTCACGCCGTGACCAGAACAATCCAAGTTACCAAAACCATGTCCAACAACACATTAACACCCAACAACAACAACATCAACAGCAAGAGCTTCAAGCCCAACACTTGTCATATTACTCCACCTTGAGAAACCATGATGTAATGTTAGAGGGGTCAAAGCAAAGTCAAACTTCAGATAGCAATGTTCAGGTCCCAAACATGGGTGAGGATGGAGTTCCTGGTCTTAAGAGCTGGGTGGTGAGAAACTTCGCAGCTAGCCATGCACAGGAGTCAAAGATGATTGTTGCTGTGGAGGAAAATGGAGGTGAATCAGGGTCCATTGGATCAATGGCATATGGGGATTTGCAGTCTTTAAGCTTGTCCATGAGTCCTAGTTCACAGTCAAGCTGTGTTACAAGTTCACAACGTGCATCACCTGCTGTCATTGATTCTGTTGCCATGGATACAAAGAAAAGAGGACCTGAAAAGGTTGACCAGAAGCAAATTGTTCATAGGAAATCCATTGACACTTTTGGACAAAGAACATCACAATATAGAGGTGTAACAAGGTTAGTTCTCTTGTTTCTTCTAAACTTCCAGAGTACTTGTGCTAACTTTACATCAACTTTTAAGTATTTTGAAATAATAAGGCTATAATATAGTTCATGGATGACCATCCTCAAGCCATTAACTGTTTATCTCCTTTTCCATGTTTTCTGTTTTACGATTTCTCTTTATTTCTAAAAGGTGTTTGTGTATCAGGCACAGGTGGACTGGTAGATATGAAGCTCATCTATGGGACAACAGCTGCAAGAAAGAGGGCCAAAGCAGAAAAGGAAGACAAGGTATGAAAGGGGTTATACTCCCCATCACTTTTTCTTTTTCTTGTGCAATTTTTTGGTCAAACATATCTATTGAATTGCACTGTTTTCTTCATAATAAAGATCCACATTTTTTTTAGCCATTTCTCATTATTCTCTTCTCTTTTTTTTTGGGTTCATTGCTTCGCGGGGAATGCCACTCAAATATACTGAATTTCAGTTTATCTAGGTAAGGTTTCTTAAGTGCTATATATCTTTTATTTTTCTATTTTAAATTCTGGCTGAAATTCCGATAGCTTAGATTAACCAAGCAGTTAAAGATAGATATCATTTAATATTTTGCTTATGATGTTAACAAAAGAGGAAAGTTAATGTTTATTCAAGTCATTCCAAACTTTTGATTTTAGGGGGTTATGATATGGAAGAAAAAGCTGCGAGAGCTTATGATCTGGCCGCACTCAAGTATTGGGGTCCCTCCACTCACATAAACTTCCCTGTAATAACTAATAATTTATTTCCCTTTTCTCTTCAAGTTTCCCCTCCAGTTATGCGGTCTAATTCAGTAACTGTAACTGAAATGATGATCTTATAACATTTTTTTGAACTTATCCACTCTCTTCTTCTAACAGTTGGAGAATTATCAAAACGAACTTGAGCAAATGAAGAACATGACCAGACAGGAATATGTGGCTCATTTAAGAAGGTAAAAGTCCTTGCTTTTGTCTGTCACTAAAAATCAAGTAGCCAACACCATTTTACTTGTTCATAACATCTATCAACTGTGTCTATTCAGAAAAAGCAGTGGATTCTCAAGAGGGGCTTCCATGTACAGAGGAGTAACAAGGTCCTTTAGGCTAAAAAAACAATTACTTTTACACCATTACAATTTAATTAGAACTATCTATATCTGACAGAAATTTCTCATGTTCTTTTACTTGATAGCAGACACCACCAACATGGAAGGTGGCAGGCTCGAATTGGTAGGGTGGCTGGAAATAAAGATCTATATCTTGGAACCTTTAGTGAGTTCTTTCATACTCTCTGGATAACTCTTTTTCTTTATCCTCTGAATATACTGTTCTTTATTTTTCTTGCTTTATTGGCATGTTTCTATTTGTTCATGTTCCAATTACCATGTTTTCCATAGTAGGAAGCGACAGAGAAGGTGCTTTATGACTTTGAAAACTTGATATTTGATGCTCTCTAAGTATGCATATCTTTTCAGCCACGATAAAGCTGATCATGAGCCACTTTAATATTGTAGACAACTGCTAGTCCCAGAGAGACAGCTTTTACTAATGCTATTCAGACTGATAGATAATCGTAAATTAAAATCTTAATTTTTGACTTAAAAATATTGATCCAATATTTCTAGCCAAGATGGCACTAAACTAATGTTTTTGACCAAAATGTTCTGTTCCAATGTGTTTGACCCGCCAAAAAATCTACTCCACTGATATTAAGCAAAGTAAAAAGATATGCTCAAATATTGGCACAAAAAGCTAATAAATTTTCTTATTGAAATTAACATTTAGGTACCCAAGAGGAAGCAGCTGAAGCCTATGATATTGCTGCTATAAAATTCCGGGGAGTCAATGCTGTGACCAACTTTGATATAACAAAATATGATGTAGAGAAAATTATGGCGAGTAGTAACCTTCTTAGCAGTGAACTAGCTAGGCGGAACAAGGAGACAGATGGTGGAACTCAGTATATTGATCACCAGCCTTCTGCATATGATGACACTCAAGAAGCCATTCTAATGCAGAAGAGTAGTGAGAGTCAATCAGATCAGTGGAAGATGGTTCTCTATCAATCCCCTCAACAACTTGACCTCCAGAACCCACCAAGAATTGAGACTCAGAGAGGCAACCAGTCCTTCTCAGTTGTGGGTTTAGACAACATTTTTCATCAAGAAGTAGAGGAATCAAGTAAGATGAGGACACATGTATCAAATCCTTCTTCATTGGCCACAAGTTTGAGCAGCTCAAGAGAAGGTAGCCCAGATAGAACAAGCTTGCCAATGCTCTCTGGAATGCCTTCAACAGCATCCAAACTATTGGCTACTAATCCAAATAGTAACATGAATTCTTGGGATCCATCACCCCATTTGAGGCCTGCACTTTCTTTGCCTCATATGCCAGTTTTTGCTGCTTGGACAGATGCATAGTTCATAGTCCTTTTTTTTTTTTTTCTCTCAAGTAAAATTTCAATCCTTTTTTTTTTCTTTTTGCATGCATGGACAATACGAGAGAAAGGTTTTAGCTAGTAAAATTGAGGGTTTAAATATTATCCGCAAGTTTAAACTTACATTTTACTAGTGAAGAACTGTTAAATTTCCATATCCTTACAGCCCGATTTTGAAGATTCATTGATAGAAACGGAAGAGAAGGCTATAAAAAGGTTATGATTGAGAGGGTGAAATTATTAAGGCAATATTGGGGGGAGACACGATTCATGATTAGTTTCAATATTGCTGGTCCTCTTAAGTACAAAACCCAGCTCAGTATGTGTCCCAATTAAGCAGAACTGGGCCTGAGATATGTATTTTAATTTATCCTTTGACCGTAATGATCCTCTTCTCTTGATCACGTCATTGCTACTGATTCTCCACGCCCAGGGTCATCATTACTTGCACCTTTATCTTGTTAAACTTTGTCTAAAGGCATCAGATATTCCCTTACCTAATTCAAACAAAAGACAGTGGGTGCAAAATTAGATTCCCTCAGAATGACTTTATGTGATCTGATTGATGACTTAATGGCATGTATCGTATTACAATTTGTCTGCTGAGTTAAGGAAAGCCATATAGTTGGAAAACTTTTCATGTCTTCCTTTTATTATTATATGACCACTCTCATAATTATATTGGCCCTTAAAAGCAACCTTGTCTATGTCCAGTGTGGGCTTAATTACCTTGGCGACTACTCACTCCACATGGATACGTTCACACGGAGCTACAATTTGTTCTTATTTTCCTGCTCTTGTGCCTATGATCTAGGTTAGAACATGAGATTAATTAATACTTCCTAACAATAATTATTATGGTAAAATAGTCTACATCGTTTAAATTATTTTTATCAAAACGGTTGAAGTGTAATTATAAATTAAATATTTAAGTGAGATACTAATAAACAAAGACATTGTAATATATAAAAAAATTAATGTGTTATAATTTTTTAAAGGTGACGAATAATTTGATTCGATGTAAGTAATTAACAAGTATGCAGCAACAATATGCATCGATTTCTCTCATGTTTCTTCATCCCCTCGTGGGCGACTCATAGTAATGACCACAAGTTATCATGCCAGTGACAATGAGGTAAAAATACCTTTGGCTAATACAATTACGCACACGAGTTTCGTTTTAACTTTTTTCTTTCTCTCAGCAGTATATTCTGCATTCTTATCCACGCCCCTCAAAACGATACAATCACTTGTACGGTTATTCTGAAAAGATTGGATAATGTATAGTTACTAAAACATAATTGGGGTGACAAGGAAATCGTAAGTACCATTTTGTTGAGGCGTACATATATAATGTGAAGACTACACCATCCCCACCACCTTCCTGGTGAAAAAATAGTATATCCACCATTAACCGAGGACCCCTTTGTTTTTTCCTTTTGCCTTTAAGGCTTTAATTAAGTGGGCGTGCCCTTCCAAATTTTAAAAGATAAAGGTAACATATGGTAGCCAAAATATCCCAATTACAAGGCAAAAGCAACAAGGAAACAAACATAAAAAAGAGAAGCATGCCTATGGCAAGATCAACGTGGAGAGAATCAAGAGAGTGACACATTCTGAAGTCAAAAAAGATCAGCCATGCAGAAGAATGGAGGCATTTGCAAGGTGTACGGTTTCATCAAGAGAGGATTTGGAAAAGTTTAATGTGTCATGTCCAAGATATTATGCATAAATTGCTATGGTTTCAACTTTCAACTCTACTATGCCTTCATGAATTAATCCTGCATTTTTGTGCTGATAAATCACCGGATTTGATATCATTGGAAATTAAAGGGACTTTTAACTTTTATGTTCGGTGTATATAGCTGTAAGATCAGTATTTTTAATCATCGATTTGTTAGTGGCTCTTAGCTTAAGCCATGCATTATGAAAAAGTTACATTTATAGTCAACATCTGTCCTAAGCAATAGAAAGAAGTCAATATCAAAAGATATGGAAATATAACTGTGTGGTTGTTATCCAGCTTTGATTATTTGAAGCCAAAATATTGCCATCATTAAAAGCTAGCTTCTTATCAGGACGTTGAATTTGCAAAACATTATTTATAGCATGCAAAAGCTACAAAATGAATATATTCAATTTTCCAATATATTCTGTAATTCACTTTAGTTCGTGTAAATGGATTGCAATCCCCATCCTCATCCCTCAACTAAAAATTTGGTGATTTAGTTTCCAGCTAAATGTAGATGTGAATGGTTTGTGTACAAATTTTTAAGATATAATGCCTTAATTGTAATTTTTAATCTCCATATTTTAATTGTAATGATTGATAAAAATATAACAAAGGCGTCAAGTAGCTTTAATCTGTATAGGTTGACAATAAAATATTATTTAAGTAAAAATTAAGAAAAATATAAAAAAATGACTAGGTATATTTTATCAATTATGTTTTTATTTTCTGTTAAATATTTTTTTATACTTTATTCGTTAGTTTATTTAAATCAATGACACATTTACACTCCTGCTTCTGCAATTCCCTAATTTTCTTCCTCTTTGGTGTTGTCGTGCACGTCCTCAGTCAGCTCGCCACTAAAAATACCCAAAAGATGGGTTGAATAAAGTTCATTGATGTTAGTTGCTTCATATTGCAAATAAGAACTGAAAATCATGACTGAATCGGAAATGACGGTGAAAATTAAAGATTAAAGATTGGAATATGAAAATCATACAAATAACTCGATCACTTTTTTACAGCATTTTGGCAGATAAACCTATGGCCATCAGCATTAATTGCTATTTTATTCGATCTCAATCTCATGATGATGTCCAAAATTGCAATAAGTAACTTCTAAGTCAATTGGGCCTTTCAGTTGGATAGTCCGTACACTTTAAAATTATCAACCACTTTAATAAACCCCGGACCCAAAAATAAATCACCCAAATTGCTTACTTTCTGATTTTACAGCCATAGCATATATATAATGATTTTTTGCTGAAGCTACAACATAATTTGTTTTCACTATTCTACTTCCGATTAAAATGAAAACTCAACTTCTTCCCTTAAATGGATTTGATTATGAGGGTGTCATGCACGCTCTCTCAATATAGATGTATATTTCTCCCAATTATTTATCTCTTCCTTTTCTTTTCTGATCATGAAGAATGTAATCCGTAGCTTCTTCCTTTTTGGATAATTTTAATTTTTTTTTATGACATTCTTTTATTTGTCTTTCTAGTCTTTTCCCTCTCCTAATCATTTTTTTCAAACTAATATCATTGGGAAAAAAAAAAGGTTCTATGTATATTTTCTCTGTGCCTCTATGAATTATTTATATTCATTTATTTTCTAATTGAACATGATTAGTTTAAGTCAAGTTTCATTTTATTTTTTAAAGCAAAAACATATTAAGAACTAAATTAAACTTAAAAACAACTCTCTCAGGTAAGTGAAACAAGACTTTGTATAAGCAGCAAGGAAAGCCCAAAGTAGCTAGTACGCCCAAAAGACTGATGATAAAGGCCCAAGCAATAGCAAAACTATTTGTCGATATGGGTACATGCAATGATTTTCTTTAATGAACAAAAAATTTATTGATGAGGATACAGATGATACTCCGAACCTTTCATACATGCAACGAATTTCTTATATGCTCATGCATGTGTATTATTATCACGTAGTACTCTATTTATTTTATGAAAACAGGTTTCCGAAAATCTCAGCAAGTGAAAATTTTAGCTGTTATAATTGACATCTTTTGATCAAATTATCGCTGCTCGTGACTTTGAACTTGTATATGTTGTCACAGCAAAAAATGTTATCAAGAAAGTATAATACTCAAACTCTTATACAAGTGAAGTAACATTTGTTATTTATTCCTTTTAACGTATCTCGGTATTTAATTTGTTCCACATACATTCATACACTTCCTCAAAATAAAGGATAGAGCTCTTCTTAACTTATAGCTTCTAAGTGCATAACTAATGGTGTCATCAAGAAACACTTTAATTTAAATAAATAATAAATGTATTTTTACTTGGGCATTAATTTTAAAAACTTTCTTATTTTAAAAGAGTTTTATAAAAGAAAAAATACCTATTTGACATCATTTTCTTTTTCTCTTTTCGCAAACAAGTTCGTTGCCCAAAATATTCTTGTCTGGTCAGGTGAGAAAGAAAAAAACCCAACATATATTAGGTGATAAGATTTTATTTTTTTTCTGGGGTTGTAAAGTTTATCATAAACTGTTGAGTTTTCAAATTTAAGAAAGATGCTTTATTTTAGTAAATTTTGACAGGAAAAGGAGTAGTATACACCATATATAAGAATTTATGGTGATTATTATAACCCCAAGACTTCGTATCAATTCACTCCAACTAATCGCTAGTAAGGTTAGCAGTGATCAAATCAAAATTCACTAGATGTAGCAAATTTATTGAGGGATGATGACATTGAAGGGGGGCCGAAGAAGAAGACTACATGCGTTCCCTTTCAAGTTGGGCTGTAGGTATGCTAGTCCCCATTGGAAAAGATGAATGAAACACGACCTATGTGGGGCTTCTCTTGTTTGATTTGGACTAGTTCTGCAGATAAATGTTCCCCAGAGGTTGGTTAGGAAGTGAGACCCTTTCGATGTTTGAAAGGCCAACACTACATGCTATTGTCTTGTTGATCTGATAGTTAATTACAATGACCCACGTGATCGCAATGAGACAACATAACAATTGGATTGAACGAATCAGACCAAGAGTCCATTTCATGACCTTTCACTGTTACTTAATTAGGTATGCTTTTGAATTTTTTTTCTATATATATTTTCATTAATAGCTATAACTGTTTTTTATTTTCATATTTTAAAGATTTTGTGAAGAAAAATTATTTTCAATAAATTTTAATGATTCATATTTCTCTCACAATGATATTTGGGGTCATAAATTCTATATTTTTTATACATAAAAATTAGTTTTTTAAAGCAGTTATCTTAACCATTTAAGCTAAAATTTCTTATGCGTGACTTTTAAGTGCAATATATTATTAGTGATCACAGAGGGAAGTACTTAAGCGCGTTAACTGTCAATTTATTACATTATCTTACATATGAACGGTTGATATATAAATCGGAGTACAACGTAAGTCTTCATCATGAAATGCATGTCATTTCTAGTTAATATATTTCACATATATCCATTCATACGGTATAAACAGTTAATAAAAAAGAGAAGTATATTATTGAGTTTTATTTACAATAAAAATTTTCATTCCATTTACTACATATGCTTTGTTTGTTACCTGTGGTTTTACTTTTAATTAGATGTTTGGACATT